CTCTTCAAATGTATCTTTTCAACTGCATAGGCATTGGCATGCATGCCGCCCTACGGGTTTCAGCCTGCCCTTCAAGAGCTCCGCGGGCCCTCTTCAAACTCAGTGTTTTTGTCCACGGCACAGTGGCCGCATTGTAGCGGCACGGTTTTCACATGGCCTCGGAGGACTCAAGTGGCTCGTTTCTGCTTGCCCAAGGCCTGCTGGGCATTGTGCGCTGGAGGCGGGGCAGTCTCTAGCCCTTTTGGCACAACGGGAGGATGTTGTTTGCTTGTGGTGAAGCAGATGAAAGATTCATAGGTGACACTCGCCTTTGTTTCAGGTCGATTGCACTGAGAGAATCCTGTGACGGAATATGCCGGGCTTGGCGGTGGAAAGTTGACGTCTTGTGTTCCTGATCATGCTGGTGTCAACGTTGGCAGACGTGTGTCATCTTTCGTCGGGCCGTCCTGCACGATGTGTTGACATTTGAGCCAGCCAACATTCGCTTGTTGAAAGGGCTGCAGTTCAATCACGGTGACTTGTGAGAGGAATTGGGAAGTTGCGTTGCCATCTCCAGGGTGGTTCGACCACGATGTTTCGCCACAGCCGTTGTTTCCCAGTGAAAGGCAGGGCAACTTGTCTCTCCCGATTCTTGCGGTCCGAAAGGGCCTTATATACATCTCTACATATATATATAATTATGTAAATGCACATCCATGCACATGCACCACACATGTATTTATATATATATATATATATCTATACATCTACACCACGTATCTGTATATGTGTATAGATAAGCAGCAGGCACCCAAGGAAGGGACCGTTTCCATGTGCTTCGGGGGCTTGGGCCATGGGCCATGGACTGGCGGCTGGCGCTGCGGCGGCTGGAGGATGGCCCCCGCCTGCGCCAGGCGCGCGGGCGCGTTTTGGCCGCCTGGTGGGGGGGCGCGGAGGGGGGTCCATTGCTTCCATGACCCCTGGGGAATACTGCGAGAAATGACCCGTGACACCCCCCCTTTTTGTTGGGAATACTGTGAGAAATGCCCCCCCCTGCCTTTTGTTGGGAAAACCGTGAGAAATGGAATTGAGGGGACCCGATCTTCCCCTTGAGGTAGGGGGGGATGCAAAGCAGTTGACACAAAACGTGCCCGAAACGACGCTCAAACCCATGAATGAGGAGCCCCGGCGCATGCAAGCGAAAGCGAACACAAACTGCAAACCCCTAAGGAACGCTGCAACAAGCAGCACATTCTAGCCCTTGGCTGAAAACAGAAGCGCTTGAACAATGCCTCCTAAACCAAATCTCGGTCACAAGGTGCCTCGTTCATCGGACATTCATGGGGGCCACTAGGCCATTGCGACCAAGGAGAGAGCTATATCCCTTGCAGTCACCCAAGCTTCCGCGTTTTTCAGGCCCCTGCGCTACTGTCGCGCGTGGCGCGGCGCCGCTGGCCTCTGGCGCACTGGGCGCTTCGAAGCCTCGCCACGCAGCGCCTGCGACCCGACGCCGCGGTGCGCAATGGCGCCGTCGCGACTGGAGCAGGCGCCTGGCGCCAGCAGCTGGGGCTGCTGTCGCCCGAGGATTCGGTGAGTGCGAGGGCCCAGGTTGGTCTGGGTTGGTCTGGTTGGCTTTTGGATACCGCTTGGGCTCGGTGAGGTAGCTGCGGCGAAGGGGCGGTTCAGCTTCGCAGGGTGACAAGAGCCGCCTTGTGTGTTTTGACCCAAGGGCGCACCCCCAACAATCCGACAGTGAAGCTGAGGGGTGGCCCAGGCAAGGCAGACAACGGTTGAGCTCCGCACTCTCGCCTTACCTTCTCTGCGGCAAGACCATATTGGAAAGAAATTGGCATGTCATAGCGCGCATGTGTTGCTTGGCGACCCGCTAGTCAGGGGCCGCCTCCGAGTTTAAGCGCCCTTCCACACCTGAGCCACAATCAAAACCCGGGCAATTCGAAATTCTTTACATGGTTCTGGGTGGACCATTGTAATACCGAGTTTTGATTATGACTCACCTGATTTTGCTTGATGCTCCTTCTTTTCCTTCCCAAAATTCACGTGGAGGTGGGGTTTTGACCCAGGGCCACGTGTGAGGTCAGAACCTCGCCATCAGCGCCTGCCGCGATTGGCGCCGCGCCGTGAGCCTCCTCCGTGGCGGTCGTCCGGACGTCGTGGCGCAGAATGCGGCGCTGGGCGCGTGCGGCAAGGAGCGCCAGGGTTGGGTGAAGCCCGTGGAGCAAAGCCACCAAAACGGCTTCTGCGTTGGTTTCCTTTCAAAGCCACAGAAGAGGGTTGGGAAAGGACATCAACAGGAAAGCCATACCTTTTGGCCCTGGCTTTAAAGCATACCCAGGTACTTGGGATTGCAGCGAGCCACGCGGGGGAGAAGTAGTGACAATTTCCTTTGTAGGCAGGGCGGGTGGGGACGGAGCAGATCTATGATAGGGTGGTTTGCAAGTATTTCAGAAGAGTCGCCAGCATCCATGTCGAAGACTTGGACCCAGCCCCCTTTGAGCAACGGGAATGGTCCACAGAGTTCCCTGAGTGTTGCAACTAAGGGAGCAGCAAGTTGAGGGGTATTTTTCTTTCGGTCTAGCCAAAGTGGGCTGCGGACCAGCAGTGTTCGGTGGATGCAGTCTTGTACCGGCCACGCGGGCTGTTCCCTCCACTTGCATTCTATGGCATTGCCGCTCAATAGACCTCAGCGCAGATTGTCGTTGCAAAACACGCCGTGTTGAGAAAAACAGGTCATGCATCACCCGAAAAGACAGCCCAAACCAGCAGACCAGAAACACCCACACAACCAAAAAAACAAACACATAAAACAAGTCGGCGCTCTTCTTCTTTTTTCCCCCGTGGCATAAGAAACCAGCGCCGACCCCTCGGATCTGCCGTGCGAGGAGCGCTGGGCGCAGGCGTGGCGCCTGCTGGCGTCGAGCGAGGCCCAGGCGCTGCAGCTGGACGCCGCCGCCTCGGCGCCGGGAAGCGAAGCGAAGCCATCGGTGGTTCCCGGCCGTTCCCTGAGTTGTTTCTTGGGTTTTTAGGTTTTTACATGGCTGTTGTTGGGAAACATCTCACATTTTGCTTGTTGTGGTTTAGTGGTTGGAATCCAACCACTTAACTGCTGATATTTAAGTTTTTGCTCCCCTTCCAACGTCAACGAGGTTTTTAGGTGTTCAGGTTTGCAGGGGTTTAGTGGTAGTTTCCACTAGGCCGCTACAGGTTACACTTTTTGCAGGGGATTTGGGAGCAGCCCAGGGAATGACCGAGCCCTCCCTTAAACTTAAAAGGAAACCAAATCCGGGATTGTTTATCCCTCATTCTCTGCTGAAAGCCAGGCCTATGGATGATTGCTAAATCCGCTCGCACCAATTGTTGGCACCACTGTTCAGAAACCCTGGTTTCAGATATGATTCCCCAGCGTAAATGGCAACAAACAATGGTTTCAACCATGGCGTGGTTGAACCCATCAAGTTGGTTGGTATTGCCAGGAGAATCATCAGAAATCAGGGTTTCTGAATGGTGGTGTGACTGAGCAAACAGTATGAGTCTGTCCCTTGTTTGGGATGCAGCTTGTTTGGGTTTTAAGCGAGCAAAACAGGGATCATTTTCGGGATCTCCTATGTCAAGACACTCCTATATCTGGGGTTTTCTCCAGTGCAATTGGATGTTTGTGGCGAAATATGGAACTTAGAGTCAGGACATAAGATCTTTTGTGCCCCAGACGGTAAGGTCCTTCGCTGCTGCAAAACGCCAGTTGAGATAGCGTTCTGGGAGCCGCTCATTTTTTTTAAACATGGACGAAGGCGGGTCGAGATTGTAATGTGAGCATGCAGACAAATTGGAGTCGCAAAGTGGGATGAACAAACCCAGTTTATTTTTTAGTTTTCCTTTTTGCCCCGAGGTCATCAGTTACAGCTGTGCCCTGCGGCCCTTGTGGCTCTCCGCAGCTGGGCTGCTGGGCGCGCTGCGCCGCTCGCTGCTGCGCGCGGACGTGGCGGCGCTCGGGGCGGCGATGGCGGGGATGGGCTGGAGACGGGCGCTGCGGTGGGTGAGGCGGATGGAGGAGGACGTTTGCAGTGCATCCCCCTTATTCATCAGTGGTTGTATCACCACAGCTCCAAGACTCCCTGGCAATGCCCGAGCCTAGGAGGCTTTGCCGGCCAACTGGCGCATCCTGGGCGCTGCCGTGGGGGCCTGCGCCAAGGGCAAGCGCTGGGCCGAGCTGCTGGGCCTGCTGCGGCCGGCGGAAACGCCGCGTTGGCCGACGCCGGTGGCCAACGCGGCGGTGGACGGGTGCCGGGAATCCAAGCTCCATCCTGGCAAGGAATCGCTCTGCTTGCTTTGTTTTGTTTGCCCGCCCGTCCGTCCATGTTTTTTTTTTTCATTGCCGTGGTGGGGTGCTTTGCATGGGCCAGGAAGTATGGATAAGCTTCTGCAAGGATCGAAGCCGACTTTGTTCCTTTGCCCCTTATAAAGCAGGCCGGTTTTTGAGTCCGTAGCTGGAGTGCGCCTGACGCTTCAAAAATAATGTGGTATGGTCAAAATTCGGGGTCACGCCCCCTTTTGAAGCTCCAGCTTGCCCTTGAGGACCTTGGGTCCCCAACTCCCTCGCCAGGCGAGCAGGCCTGGCCGCATGCGCTGGGAGTGGCGGCGGCCATGTCCTGGGCCAAGGTGGAGGCCGACGTCATCACACGCAATGCGGCCCGCGCCCCAGCAGGAGCCTAGAAAGGGCAGGGGGGGGGGGGGCCAAAAGACGCCCCCCGGGGCTGAGGGAGGTTCGTTTTTTTTGGCTGAGTTGGGTTTAAAGGGGGGTTCGGTTGATCCATTTGTTGTTTTTGGGAAGCGGGGGCGGCCTTCTGCTTATTTATGTTTTGGGACATGTGCATGCGGGGACACATGAGGCAAGGTCTGGGCCAACAGGTGCGGCAGCACGGGAGAGAGAGGCCACGAGGCAGGTAAGAAGATCAGATGAGGGCCGGGTGCGAGAGTAGGCAAATCAGGGCGAGCGATCAGTGATCCTCTCACAATGAATCAGGCTTGCTGTTGCGCAGGGAATGAGAAATGGAATGACCCCTATAAACCATCCAACTGGTGGTTTACTCCTATATAGCCTATATAACTGGTGGTTTCCTTGAGGACCAAGGCCGGGGTTCATTTTATTTCTCACTCCCCACCTATGGCGCTGCTTGACGCTTCCAGGTGCTCGCCTCGGCGCCCTGGGCCTCCGCGCTGGCCGTGGCGTCTGCTGCGCAGCTCGAGAGCGTGGAGGGCCTGGGCGCGGTGGTGCGGAAGGCGGGAGCAAGGGTGGGGGGGTGCAGGTTGAGCCCCATTTTCTGTAGGGTCAAGTGCTTCAAAGACCATTTGTGTTGTAGGGATTCTGAGGTTGAATCCGTTTTTGTTGTTGGTAGGATGGATCCGGGGTTGACTCCAACTTTCTGCTATGACTTTACGGATTCTTGAAGGAAGCTGAACTTCGATGGGCCTTCCGTGCGGTTCGGAAGGCGCAGCGCTGGGAGCGGGCGGAGGCGCTGCTGGCGCTGATGCGACCAGGCAGTAGGGCGGAAAGGCCAACCCTTGGAGTTCTAATTTTATTGTGGGGGTTAATTCCTTTTCCATTCTTTTCAGCCATCGTTCTTTTCAAAAACCGATCGCCATGTCCCGGTTTTTGGTGGTTTTCTAGAAAGAATGATTTTTTTGGAAAGAATGGGGAAGTTACCCCTAGAATTACGGGATGCAGAACTTGTGGAAGACTATAGCGGTTTCAAGAGGTTTGACGATGAAGCAGTCCAATAAGCCCATTAGCTCTGAGAACAGCAAACAAGGAAACGAGCCAAGCGCAACAAGGTTTGAGGTCGTTTACTCACTTTACGGGCAAACATGTGGCCCTCTTCCCCTGCCCTTCCGGCAAGAGTTGAGCCAGTCCAAGTCCTTGCGACGCAGGCGGTCTGGAGATGTGACCTGGCACGCGAAGGGGGGGTTCGGGGGTCCAGCAGTCGGCTTTAGCGTCGGATGCTGCTTTCCCATTCGTCGCTTCATGGGAAATCTGTTTCGAGCTCAGTTTTTCTTGTTCTGTGTAGGGTGGCGCTACACAAGTCGACGGCTTTGGGAAATGTTTTTTAGTGTGTCACGCGGCTCAGGCAAACGCAAGCCATGGACTGTGAAGCATGTTGTTGGAACAGAACTTGTTTGGTGCCGTCGATAAAATAATTGCAAAGGATGCCGTCATGCAAGAGATGGGGAAAATCCAGGAGATGCAATGGATGCAAGTGATGTGAGGGAAGAGGGCTGCATGTGGCGTGGGAGGTGCTAGGTGGATGTTGTGAGTGCAAGGCTGGCGGGAGTGAATCTGCTTCTCTTTGCTTGCCTTGCGGAAGCGGTGGCTAGATTCCACCGAGAACAGGCTTCCCACGGGAAGTTCATCCACCGCACGCAAACCAAAAAAAAATCGTGCTTTTGTATCTGGGACGCTTTTTTCTTTTCCAAATTCCTCACTGACTCGAGTCTCCCATGGCGTGGGCCGTCCGTTTTCGGAGAAATTCGGCCTCCGAGTCTCCGCGCCTCCCGCGCCGCTTGTCCGCGAGGTCCTCGGTGGCCCTCAACGGCGCGCGGCAGCACTGGGCGCAGCTGGGGCTCTGGCGCCGCGCGCTGCGGGGCCTGGGCTCGGACCCGGTGACCTTCAACGCGCCCCGAACAGAAGCGGGAAGCGGAGCTGGGCGTCCCCTTTGGGTAGGATTTGGACCCCCCCTTAGGTTGAGTTGAGGTCCTTTTTCCATTCGTTTCAACCATGATTCGCTCTTATCAAAAACCGATCGCCGTTTTTTTTTTGGATTCTAGGGGTTGAGGTGAGGTCCTTTTCCCGCTCGTGTGAACCCATGATTTCGTTCTTATACAAAAACCGGAATCCCGTTTTTTTTCTGGGATTCTGGAGGTTTTCTAGAAAGAAGGATCCGTGGCAACAATGGGGAAGGTACCCCTAGAGTTTTGGGGATTCCTGAAGAGGAGAGCCATAGGATGGAGGGTGTTTTTCGGGGTCATCTCCCGCATGAATGAGAAGCAGCCAGTTTTTTGGATTGCCCCAAGTTCAGCTAACCAACCTTTAACCACCCAACTCGATCCAAGCCGCCAACTAGGGGGGGGAACTGAAAGGGAGACGCAGTTATCCAGCTGGTGGTTTGTTTTTGACTCTTCAAAAGGGACACTTCTGGGTAAAAGGTCCAACTTGGGGCCAAGGAAAATGGAGCCCCATGCGGATGTTTGCCAACCAAAAGGTTGTCCCCCCATTGTGAGAAACAGTCGCGCGGAAAACTGGTTCCTTTACTTCAGGTTGGAAGGGATTGTTGGTGGGACAGTCAGGGAATTCTGGCCATGACAATGACGGAGCGTCGACCATGGGACACTTGACCAAGACACACACACACACCCTATCTGACGCCAAAGCTGATTCTTTGAATGGTGCAGATCCAAAAACGAAAGCCGTCCCAAAGAGGTTCTGCATAGGGGGGGCTTTAGAAGATGACC